TGACGAGTGTTTCCCAACGTTTCCGTAGACCATGGCGGCAATATTTGTTATGCACTATCGTAACCAGAACGAGAAGGTACAGCTCAGTACTTATTTTATGCCGGAAATCTTGAGGAGCAAGAAAGCCTTACCCAGACTGAGTGCCACTCTGCTACACGGCTCAGCCGCTTTTCCTGCACTGAGCTTGACTGACGCTCTCTGAGGCAGAAAGTCTAGCAAGATTCTCTGTAGGGAAGTTGTGTGTGTAGAAGGGTGTGACTTAACCATTGATGAGTGCGAGGTGGGGATGGGGTTGCGGCGCTCCTCAGTTACCCGTGTGGCAGGGCAGAGGTAGGTCGCACACTCCCCCACTTGCCCTCCCTGGCTTAGTGTCGTGTTGTTTTGCAGTGCATTTTTGCTGAATTTGTTAAGCGCGTATATAATATCTTTCAATAATTGTTACCATATACTTGTGCATGTATATGATTAACATTAAATAATTAGAAGTAATTTTTTTCTGTAAAACCTCCGGAGATTTAAGGTAGTAGTTAACTCTTTAAGTCAGTTCATCGGGTAAGGTACACGCAACATCCCCTTGTTAGAGTAATGTATACACGCCTGGGAGATAGGACTCCCAGCACACACCTAGGAGACGGGAGTCCCAGCACACACCCAGGAGACGACAGTCCCAGCACACACCCAGGAGATGACAGTCCCAGCACACACCCAAGAGATGGGAGTCCCAGTACACACTCAGGAGACGGGAGTCCCAGCACACACCCAGGAGACGGGAGTCCCAGCACACACCCAGGAGACGGGAGTCCCAGCACACACCCAGGAGATAGGACTCCCAGCACACACCTAGGAGACGGGAGTCCCAGCACACACCCAGGAGATGACAGTCCCAGCACACACCCAGGAGATGGGAGTCCCAGTACACACCCAGGAGACGGGAGTCCCAGTACACACCCAGGAGACGGGAGTCCCAACACACGCAGGTGACAGGAGTCCCAGTACACACCCAGGAGACGGGAGTCCCAACACACGCAGGTGACAGGAGTCCCAGAGTGGCACTAACATTCCTCTGGCACGCGAGGCACCAGCACTGCTCACGCTGGTGTTACCACAGATGAACGCCGCGTGTGGCATCTGTGACGTTCTGCTTACGTTTTAAACTTCCAGAAGTAACTAACTTTAATACTGGAAGTTTACATCTTTTATACATAAAGTTTCAGTGCCTGTTTGAATCGTATAGGGAATTATTAATTGTGTCTTAAATGAAATAAATACAATAATATTCGTCTTTGGGCTAATGAATTACTCTATGTATTAGATTTGGACTAAATTTTGTGTCACGTGAGCGTAACAACGGAACGGCTACATTCTTGGTATGCTGTGTGCGGTACTCGGTGCTATATATTCTGTGTGCGGTACTCGGTGCTATATATTCTGTGTGCTGGTACTCGGTGCTATATATTCTGTGTGCGGGTACTCGGTGCTATGTATGCGGGTATTCACTATAATATACTCAACTAACTATACTTACAGGGTCGGGCATCGGATCCTCAGCGCAGCTTTCCTTGCATTTCTCTGATGAAAAGACTTAGTTCCTACGTGCTTATCATATTTACAACTACTCTTGCGTATTTACCTCGATTTCACCACTTCTGTATTTAAACCATTCCACTTTCTTGCCACTCTACGTTGAAAAAGTTCCTTTTAATATTTCTGTAACTCGTTTGTGTCTAGTTCATCTGTGTCCCCTCGTTCTGCTGTTCCTAGTTCTTAACGTTGCTTCTGTCTACTTGATCAATTTCCCTTAGAAATCTTCAATATCGTGTCAATGTCCCCTGTTTTCCTCAACTCTTCCAGTGTGGCGAGGTCTAATATCCTGTCTTTCCTCATTGCTCTGGCCCCTCAGCTCAGGAAGAAGCCTGGTATAATATTTCTGAACCTTTTCTAGCTTAATTATATGTTCTTTTCAGGTGGAAATGCCATACCGGGGAATTGAACATGAGACCCACACTTGATCTGGTCTCATAAATTGTTTATGTACCCCGGAAGGCTGCTTTGCTCAGATTCATGTAGGCTACAAGGACGTTGGTCAGTGTGGCACACCCCTTTGGCGTTATTCTGCTAATGTGAACCTCTGATATTATGGGTGATACCGTAATCTGTCTTCCCTTCATTCTGTTCGGAGGTACGGGGATTATAACTCCTGTTCCTATCCTATAACTTCGCACTAGACTCTTGAGAGTATGCCGAGATCTCTTTGCAGAGAATCATAGAGTTTCTTCCCTGTTATGTCTCGTCTCTTTAGTTTTACATCATCTGAAAACATTGATATCAAAGTGTTTGTGTGTTGCAGGGGATTGAGAGGTTATTAATACTTGACTGTTGTTGTTGTTTTAGATTTAGCTACTCGGAACTAAAATTTCCATGTAGCACGGGCTATGGTGAGCCTGTAATACTTGACTGCTGGCAAGTATGTTAAATAGTGTAGGAATGATGCAAGGGCAACTTTACACAGTGAGATGTAGCAGGTGGTATAATCACGTCATCTCATGCTGACAGTTGTGATGTGCTGCAATCGTCCTAAATTAAACAAATACCTTATACAATAATTTGAGTACTATTTTATCCTTTCAGAGAGGCTGGTCCTAAACCTGCTTTAACTGAAGCACTCAGCCAAAACCTGTTTTATACTGGAAGAACTGAACCAAAACTTGTTTTAAACTGGACAAATTAAACCAAAACTTGATTTTTTTACTGGAAGAACACTGCAAAAACCTATATATGCTTGGAAGAGCGTTACCAATTTTTTTTATTTGAAAGAATCCTAAAAACATGTTTTAAACTGAAAGAACATTGCCAAAATCTTTATTAATTCACAAAAGACCCTGCCTGAGGCATCTGCGACAGCTTCCTTAACAGTCCCGCAAGCTCTTCCTTCTGCCAGACACAGGCACCTACGGCCACACGGGCCAGTTCCGACCGTACCTAAGCCGTTCCGACCGCTCCGAAGCGGAAGAAACACCACAAAACATATAGGACTAGTCACACTCTACTATCTAATCATTTCAAGTTGAGAGCAAAATCTGAACACGCAATACAAACAAGAGACGTAAGGAGGAAGAGCCAACTAGACTTACGTCCCATATGAGCAGAAGATGGTGGTGGAGGTGGTGATGGTTGTGTTGCTCAACCTACAGGGGCTGGTGAACGCTTACTACCATAATACAGGTACGTCTTGGCGAACGCTTACTGCCATAATACAGGTACGTCTTGGCGAGCGCTTGTCATCATAATACAAGTACTTCCTGGTGAACGCTTACTGACATAATACAGGGACGTCCTGGTCAACGCTTACTGTCATAATACAGCATTTAATCTCATTTTTATTAACCATGTTATGTTGTCTACAATATTATATAACATTTATTCAAGAACCTTTAGCATCTAGTTCACTTATTACTATCTCCAAATATAACTACATCAGTACAATTGATCACCGGCAATACCTTATCCTCGAACTACTGTTAAATAGTTATTACCAGAATTTATGAATCAGCACCTGCCAATAGGTCTACCAAGATGTCTGCAGGTTAAGGTACATTGCGATTTACTGTAATTTTGTTAACTTAAATATCACTGTAAATTCTCAATGTTTACCACAATCATTATGTTAGCTTCAAGACCTTTCCAAAATGCTTTGTGCATTATAGACTTTGCGATAAATATACCTAATTAACTTATTGCTTTCTCCCTTTTAATTAACTGTAGCTAACCACTGTGCTAATGTGAATGCATTGTATGTACACACCAAAATTGTTACAGAACCCTGTACTGTATATAATTTTTGTAAAAAAAAAAAATCAAATATCATAATATCGGATAAAATTCTATTGCAACACATTGGTTACTGTCATAACTCAAAATTTATTGAATGTGTTGTCATAACAGACCTTGACACACATTGTGTATTGACAGCACTCCCATTGACACAGTGCATTCAGCCGTAGTTCGACAGGTCGTACATCATTAACCAATGTCGACACATAACTCTATAGTCTATACAGCTCTTAATAACTGTTCATACATACTGTGGACTGTTCATAACTCTTCGTGACACAATATGAACTGTTAATAGCAATACGTGACATGGTGTATTGTTAACAACTTCGTTTAGGCTGTGTACCGTTCATAACTGCTCGTGAAACAAGGTGTACTGTTCATTACTGATCACGAAACACTTTGGTCTCTAAATCATATCGTGACAGAATTGTCATAACTCATCGTGATAGGCTGATTTATGTTATTCATTTTGTAACATTGATCATGCCGGCGTGGTATTGACGCGCCACAAGCAGTATCACGTTCCAAAACTGTCACAGAAAACCGCAACGTGTATTTACGTTTATTTCCTGTGAGTAGTTAGGTCTACTATTATGTAAATAAGTTGTATACTATGTAATATGTTATAGAAGAGCTAGGGTTATCTTTTGTATTGTAATATATGTTTTGTATTGTGTTGTGTGGCAGGGATGGTGCAGCCAGTGCCCGCCACCACCACCACCGTCGCCACCCACGCCACCTCCCTCCCTCCTATGGTGAGTCTTCATAACACTTCTCATCTGCACACCGTTCCTTCACATTCAGCACCAACAGCTCTGTTGTTCGCCACCACTATCTCTCTTGTTCGCCACCACTATCTCTCTTGTTCGCCACCACTCTTATCTCTCGTTCATCGTCACTGGCTAGTCTCAATCACACTCACTGTAATCTTCACTTTGATAATCTATGGATATTTTATTCTGCTCACCATTACTGTGGCCTTCCACTTTCACAATTAATATAATCTCAGGCGCTCACCACCCCTGGGAAGTTTCTTAGGTTCACAATATCCCCAGGGGTCCCTTCCAAAGCATCCCTTTCATAGGGCGGTCTAATCTACAAGCAGAATGAAGCCTAGTTCATAAAGAAACGTATCCACTGTGAAGGTGCTATGTTGCTCACCTTTCACTCTCCTACAGATGGTACTGACGACGTCGGCGTCGGAGCCCCTGGCGTCGAGGCACCGCCGCCGCATCCGCTCAATCCTACGGCCCTCACCTATGGTCAAGACAAGGAAGGTGAGGACAACCTTGCCGCCCTCTCACGGATCTCGTTGTCTAGGGGTGATAAATGTGTTGAAGACAGTCTGGATGTTCTCATTCGAACATTCTGTTAGCACTTTTAATTATTATGAATTTCTGGGTTTAATATATCGTGTCGCAGGTGTTTAACCGAGAACTTCACTTGTTTCCCCTACCGGCGTGTGGTGGTACAGACCATCGACGACATGGTGCGAATGATGTCGATGGAAGGATCTCAGGCTGCCCACGACTCTCTCATGCACGACCTGCTCCAACTTGCCGAGGAGATCACCGAATCTATGATGCCCACCTCACGGACAACCGAAGCTACCCTCACGTCAGCTACCATCATGCCCACTGCCATCGCTGACATTACTGCCTCATCCACTACCACCATACCAACGAGGACCACCGTGGTTGACCCCACCACGGTGACGAGGACCACCAAGGTGAACGTAGCCACTATACCAGGTGCTGTCATGGTTGACACTTTTACCAGGCCCTCAAGGCCGACGGCCACACCAACGGCCCAGGTGTTCCTCGACCGCGTCAAGGATGTCTTGGCGGCATCCGGCATCGAACTTGTTCTGCCGCTCGATTGTGGACGGGTGAGTACTGAGAGAGGTTCCTGATACTCAGGAAGGCCATGACCAGGTAGGTCATGCCTTTAGGGCCAAACTATGAGTAAAAATAATAATTATTATAATTGGTTAAATGGTAATAAAGGAGGTTGTGTGAATAACATTTTCAGTTATACAGCACAACTCTTGTACCACTTGGCACCTCGGGGACTCAACACCATTGCACCACAGCGTGTGTACCCACACCTTGCACGTAGGTACGCGCACCAACTTACACCAATCCACCTAACCTAACGACGCCAATTCTCAAAAATACATAACCAAAAGCTTACAATTCCAGTGCCTTTATGTTTCATAAAAACAGTACATTTTGATATTTGCATCTCTGGCGTACTAAAACGAGACCATTAGCAGGTGGATGGACTACAGCGAGTGTACCCCATTAAAATAATAATAATAATAATAATAATAATAATAATAATAATAATAATAATCATCATCATTAAAAAAATGCTTGTGGGGCTATTGTAATCTGAGCGCTTATCCCTGGTCGCAGAACCCGCTGAACACAACAGCGGCGCTGGAGGGCGGGCAGCTGCCGTGGCTGGTGGCGCTGGGCTCCCGGGAGAACGGCAGGTTCCACTACCGCTGTACCGGCGTCATCATCACCAACTTCCACGTCCTCACTGACGCTGACTGTGTTGCCTCCCCACACATGTGAGTGTATGACTATAACAATTCAGGCAACGGCTGGTTCCTAACATACAAGTAAAAATTATTTATTTATATACATGGGCCAGTGGTTAAATGTAACAGTAGTTTCTTCATGCAATAATTGTTTTATATCTTAAATATATAAAGTAAATGCTTGAGTTTTCCCCTGATGCAAAATTGAGATAATTGCACAAGTGTGACACAAACACACCAGAAGCACGGGCGCCCAGTGAAGTGCGTGAAGTATAACATGGGTGTCTGCCTGCAGCAACGTGGTGCAGGCCAGCAGGTCGGGCGTGGTACCGGACCAAGGTGCCGTGGAGAATTATGTAGCGGGGCGCAGAATCCATCCGGATATTGAGAGCAAAGATGATCTCTTCTCCGGCCTCAACATTGGCATCCTCGAGTTGGCCCAGCCTTTTGTATTTAACGGTGAGTACTGTATCCAGCTATCTTACTGTGATGTTAGAAATTACAGTAGTGGCCAGCTATAGGTTCATTAGTATTTAGCCGGGTTTGTCTGGTAGCCTGGTACTATCTGGCGTCAACGCACCTGAGGTAAGTTTACTGTCACGATGTCTAGAGTTCGAATTCTATCAGTGACCAATGAGGACAGTAGGTAGGGTCTTATCAGTTGAGTCAATCCAATAGTTATAATGAAACTGCATGTTGAAATTTTCGTTTGACCTCACCAACCGCTGGGTGAGGTTGTAAGTATAGAGAAGGGTTAGTTTCCAATATCTGTGCCTCTTAATATTTAGTTAATTTAAAAGACAGCGAAGTTCATTAGTAAAATTCAGATCAGAACAGTTTCAGGCCACCACCGTAGCCTTGGTTGCTTAAATCGAATATGATGCACTGGCCTTTTGAGTCTGGGGGGGCCCTGTCGACAGAACTGGGCTCGATCTTTGTGAATATTCTTGGGAACAACTTTTACATTGCCTATAACAGAAGTAACATTTTAACATATGTCATTTATTTGTATTTGAAATATAATTCCTGGTAGTAACCCCAAATCAGTTATTGAGACCCCAAGCCCCTGATTATTTCAGTTTATTCTTAATTGACTTTTGTGGTGTGTGGAGGTGTGTGTACCATAACCCAGGTGGGATGTCTCCAGATCACATCCAGCCAGTGTGTCTGCCGGGGGTGTTCGAGGAACAAGACCTAGAGGCCGCCTACCTGGTCACCGTCGCCGGCTTCAACAACATCGTGGACCGTAAGTCTCTATTTAACATTGATGTGCCGAAACAAAATCATGCGACCATCGTGTGTACTGTGACTTGGTAGCTGTTAATACTTGCTTCACCTTCACGTGTAAATTGGCGTATATATCTCATAAGTACGAGACCTTTGGAAACAAATGAATCATAGTGAGGCAAACCAAAAACTTTTGTAATTATTTCACTGTGGTTCATTTGCGTGTATATATATATATATATATATATATATATATATATATATATATATATATATATATATATATATATATATATATATATACACACATATAAATATATATATATATATATATATATATATATATATATATATATATATATATATATATATATATATTATTTAATTTTTAGTTCCAGAGGGACGAATAGCAAGGAGATACATGGAATCGATGGTGGGGGCGGAGGGGGCAGCTCCCTGCTACTACAGGACCCGCGTCGACCCCGACTTCTCCTCAATGATACATACACTGCTCACTGAGAAGCACCTTTGCGTCTACATCAGCTTTGAAACGGTAACTGATTTGCATGACGCATTCACTGACAATAGTGCGATCTTAGATTGATGACTGCACGAAGATCCACAAAGTCAGGAAAACCTTTGAAATTGCACTCTTTGGCAAATGCATTAAAGAGAACTAGAAAGTGATAAATGAGGTGAATGATTCACAGAGTTCGTGTTTCAGGTGGGGAAGTCTGTGTTGTTGATGGAGGACGACCGGACGGGGCGGGTTCGCGTAGTGGGTGTGGGCGGGTTTGCAAACGCCCGCTCCACCGTCCCTGTCGCCTACACCCTCGTCCAACCCTACCGCTTCTGGGTCGAACTGGTACTGAAGAAATTTCTCAATAACATGGCTGCCCGAAGCTGATGCTATTGGTATTTGTCAAAATACTGTAATGGTCACACTCAAAAAAATGTTAAAACATATGGGGAAATGTTATACTTTTATTAAATGTTCTTCTGAAGAAATTAATTTTGCTAAAGTGGAGTTTCCTAAATAGAGTCACATGAATGGTTTGCTTTCATCACCAAAGACCCACGGCTCCTGGATTTACAATCTCTGCATCCTGAATGCTCTCAATGCACAGAAAGAAAAAAAACTTGTTTTGCTGTATGAAGACTAAACCACACACCAGAAGATGAGGGAACGACGACGTTTCGGTCCGTCCTGAACCATTATCAAGTCTATTGTGATAATGGTCCTGGATGGACCGAAACGTCTTCGTCCCCTCATCATCTGGTGTGTAGTTTGGTCTTCATATCTTCAGCCACGTTATTGTGACTCATCGTCTGAACATGTTTTGCTGTAATACTGAACAGTTTCCTTCACTAAGAAGCTGCATAGATGATGCTGTACTATGTTAAAGAGGCAATCATAACTTTCAGCTTGTACTTATATTTTATTTATCAACAATTACATAAGTTAGAGTGTGCAAGTGTTCAAGACTAGAGTGATAACCACAGGTCAAGCTGTCGGCTGTTGTAAGGTCACCTTCAAGTTTATCAATTGGATTTATTGTTGGGCGTATGGCCTACAGACCTCGGGGAGAGTCGCTACGGCTACCATAGTGCCTTGCTGATCAAGCAGCTGGTATAATTTAGTCATGCACATAATTCAGAACTAAGTAAACTCTCAGTGTATACTCACCGATAAATGCAGTACAGTGTATCTAAAAAGTACCTTAGAAAAAGGCTGACTACAAATCATCCGAGGTTTCAGCAATGGAAAAATATATCTAATTCGTAAGATTTAAGTCACTACTTCTGCAGAACCAAGCCTTTTAAATCGAGGCAAACTTTAATATAATCATACGTGCATTATTGAAAAAAATCACATATAAGTGCGTAAACTATGGAAAATTCTATTAAATCCTAAATTTTGGCAGTTTTAATCACTCTGATGCTACTCAACTCCTGAAATGGTCCGAAGCAAACATAACAAGTCAAAAACTATCAAAGAGAATAATCAATGTTGTGTTTATACTCACGTTCCCACAACCAACACACGTTGGCGACAATTTAAGACTCCAGGGGCCGATAGGCTAGTGTAGGTGTTAGTTAATTGTATAAAAACCTGCTATCCATGAATAAGCGACGGCTTTCATCGATATAATTTCATACCTATATCTAAAAAATAAATTAAACTAGAGTGGGTACCCGGCGTTGCTCGGGTACCCACTCGGGAAGGACACTACGTCTTCACTACAATCATCACTGTAACCGTCTGCACTACACACGATTGTCTATATTATAACCATCTTAACCACACACCTTCCCTCTCTTTTGCCACTTTCACTATCCATACCATTTTCCTTCTCCTTTGCCCCATTCCTCTTCTTCACCACCTTTGCCATCATTCACCACCTTCTCTATAGTTTAGCAACTTTCCACCCATTCACCACCTACCCCTTCACCATTTTCCCTTCATCCTCACAGACTTATACGTGAGGATGGAACCGTTTATTTAGCGAGATTGATAACTAGTATGGTTTGTTGAGGGGGGAGGGGGTTTAGGTCTAGGGAGTCACACAGGTGAAACACCACACGCTCTGTCTGCCTCAGGGAGGGAGTGGGATGAACTGGGTGAGGTTGGCTCTCTCGTAGTAGGCCCGAGAGAAGGAGTACTCGTTCATCTTGGGCTGAAGATCCGGGTATACGACGGCGCCACCGGCGAGGTAAGCTGCCCAGAACCCGTAGCTGCCGAGGGTGATGACGGAGTGGTTACAGGCCACCAGCACCGCCAGGTCCAGCTCCGGAGGAGTACCTAACAAAGCCGATATCATAATTCACGCTGCCAACACCACGACTCACACACACAACAAACCTTCCCCACTCTTAGCATCACAACCTCTTTGAGGAACTTTTTTATTGTTACAAGCATTACAATCGTTCCCCCAAGAGAGTGTTGTAGTGAAAGGCCTGAGTGTCGCACAGTGGCTATAGTCACACACTCACACTATCACATATTACACAAGTCACAATATTTTCTCGAAGCTAGTTAATTTTGTCTTCTAACTAGGTTCATATGTTGTAAAGGGCTAAGTTGTATGGAAGTCGGTAGGGGGTGAAGGATGGTGGAGGTGGACAATAGTGGAGATGGTGAAGGATAGTGAGGTAGACGGAAACTATTTGAGTAAGCAGTGGATAGAGGCAAACCACAGTCTTCTACTCCCCCAAGCCTGGCCTCCAGCCGGACTTGGGGATTAGAAGAACTCCCAGAACCCTATCAAGCAGGTAAGTTCACTACGGCCAAGTAGTCCGTGCTACTTGGAACTCTTTGTTCCGAGTAGCTAAATCTAAAACAATTACAACAAGAGACAAATCATCAGCAAGGGAAGGAGAGGAGAGGTATACCTGGAGCAAAGACTACATCCTTCTCCCGGATGAGGACCTCCATCACGTAATCCATGTCGTCCGAAGCTACCACGAAGGTCACCCGCGGGAGGCGTCGACGGTAGAAGTCCAGAGCTCGTCTAAGGTAGTCCTCGCCGGGGCCGGAGATCCTGAACAGTTGCTGTAGGAGATAAGACATGATAGAGACACTGTCTTCAGGATAAGTAGGGGACAGGCGTTTTCCGGGGGGGTGGGGAAAGATGGAAGAGAGGACTGGGGGTGGGGAAGAAGAGGGGACTGGGGAGGGAGGGGCGGGGGATGGGTGGAATGGAAGAGGGGGACTCTTGGACAAGAACAATAGGCTTACATCAACCTATTTTTAATATTAACATTTAAGGATCACTCATTTCGTTCTTTTCTGTGTAAATTTAAAAAACTGTGATTACGAACCTTACTGTTTATATGCAATACAAAACAATCACAGCTGAAGAACAAGCGTAGAGGGATAACTACTAAAGATTTCCTATGATTATGTGTAATAATAATTTTGTTTACACTGATACACATAAATAAAATTTCGTCTGGGAATCAAACAACATGCAACAAACATGATTAATGTATAATAATGAATGACAGAGCTTGTGGATTCTTGCCTCAACTCACTAGGCTAAAGTTCCTCTGTATTTCTCCCACCTCATGATTGTTTTTATTTATATTTACAACTTTTGCTATTTCCCAGTCTCTGGTAACCTCACCTGTAAGGCGGCAGCAAAGTCCGTCCGTCGGACGTGGACCCCGACGAAGGTGGTTGGGGCTGTAGAGGCGGCGACTGTGTGCAGGAAGTCCTGGGCCTGTAGGCACTAACTGTTGTCACACACTCATGACAGCCTATACTGACTTCAGGCAGGACTGTCATCACTCATGACAGCCTATACTGACTTCAGGCAGGACTGTCATCACTCATGACAGCCTATACTGACTTCAGGCAGGACTGTCATCACTCATGACAGCCTATACTGACTTCAGGCAGGACTGTCATCACTCATGACAGCCTATACTGACTTCAGGCAGGACTGTCATTACTCATGACAGCCTATACTGACTTCAGGCAGGACTGTCATTACTCATGACAGCCTATACTGACTTCAGGCAGGACTGTCATCACTCATGACAGCCTATACTGACTTCAGGCAGGACTGTCATCACTCATGACAGCCTATACTGACTTCAGGCAGGACTGTCATCACTCATGACAGCCTATACTGACTTCAGGCAGGACTGTCATCACTCATGACAGCCTATACTGACTTCAGGCAGGACTGTCATCACTCATGACAGCCTATACTGACTTCAGGCAGGACTGTCATCACTCATGACAGCCTATACTGACTTCAGGCAGGACTGTCATCACTCATGACAGCCTATACTGACTTCAGGCAGGACTGTCATCACTCATGACAGCCTATACTGACTTCAGGCAGGACTGTCATCACTCATGACAGCCTATACTGACTTCAGGCAGGACTGTCATCACTCAAGACAGCCTATACTGACTTCAGGCAGGAATAATCCACTGTCAAGCTATAACAATGCATGTAAAATTATATATTTCGTCAATGTATTTCATATGCAGGTATGTAAATTTTTTATAGAAAAGTAGACACTATCGAAAGTCTCTGAGCACTGGACAGTGTAGAACACTTGAGGGCAAGTGGTATAGGCCGTTTTGGTCGTGTTGTAATGTATGGCACTTTAATGTAAGTTCATAACCTATTTGTGTCAAACTGTGGAGGCACTCACCTCTTGCTGAAGCTTACGGCTGAAGGTAAACTCTTGCACCAGATCATCCCTGAAAGCGTTGAAGATCTGCATCTCAAACGGGTAACCTAAAGGAATCATCACTATTACCTGTGGCAGCTACGCTATTATTTCAAAATTATGCATTATGCATTTAGTTTTAGTTGAGCAATACAAATATAATTGTGCAAATTTGTAAAAAAAAAGTCCTATAATCACCATCATCGCTCGTCAGTGTTGCAATTACCACCAGCTTCCACCACCACATCACCAGTTACCACCACCTCATCACCAGTTACCACCACCTCATCACCAACTTCCACCACCTCATCACCAGCTTCCACCACCTCATCACCAGCTTCCACCACCTCATCACCAACTTCCACCACCTCATCACCAGTTACCACCACCTCATCACCAGCTTCCACCACCTCATCACCACCTCACCACCACCTCACCACCACCTCACCACCACCTGTGCTCCAACAGGCAACTCACCATCCGCCACTATGGCTCTGGGTCCCTTCAGTCCGGCTGCTGCTTCCTGAAGTGAAGTATAGTCGGTGAGAGTGGGTGACCCGGCACCCACACAGAGCCACGACGCCCCCATCATCGGCACTGTGGAGCATCGTGAGGGGCAGATAAAGAGGTGTTAAGAGGGAGGAAATAAATCATATTTATTGTAATAAATTTGAAATGGCACAAAGTAAGTAATTATCAAAAGTAAGCACCAAACCTGTAAATGGCACAACATGGTAAACCATTTTGACTAGAGAAACTGACAGCGTAAATATATCAGCACAATTCAGGATTCAAGTGCACTTTATGCTAGAAATTCAAACCATCCTGTTGCCTGGCTTCAATAATAAAAAATTACTCTATTTAGGTCTAATCTAGTAGAAATTAATTTAATTTTCTTTAGTAAAATTATCGCTTAGCTCAATTCAAATATTAGCCAGAGACTTTGATAATCTGATTATTCAATAGTTGGAAAGTATAAATTAAGGCTATGTAATGTGAAACACATTTGAACAATTGCTGCATGTACTGTTCAGTCTTGATAGATAGTTATACGCTGTGCCTACGCGAGACTTTATATTCCTCCTGCCCGTCACACTCTACCTACAAGAGAGACTTGCCACAAAATAGGACACGGTGAGGGAAGAAGAACTCTCCACACAAAAAGGCAGAGGATATAAGGAGAAGGAAGGAAGGAATTATCAGAATTACCAAAGCACCAAGCCATTACGACTATATAGCGCTGGGAAGGGGTCAGGATAAAGATTTGGGATGGGACAGGGGAAAGGAAGGGTGCCCAACCATTTGAACGGTCGGGGATTGATCGCCGACCTGCATGAAGCGAGACCGTTGCTCTACCGTCCAGGGGAGATTCACCAGACAGAGCATCATAAGTGGAGTAATGTGGACTCAGGGGACGTGGCGAGGGACCAGAGAGGACTCACTGATGCACTCAGTAATCAGTGGTGATACAGTGAGGAAGATAGTGAGGGAGGGAGTCCCCAAGTAGAGGGAGCACAATGAGGGAGTAATGAGGACTCACCAGGCAGAGGGGACATTGTGAGGTGAGGGAATAACGGACGCAACCTCTTCACGACTCCTTCCTCCATGAACACTTTCACCTGTAATGTTGAAGTTTAAATACAGTTTTCAAATGTTGAAATATAAGGCAGAGATATATATTTCAAGGCAGAGATATAAGTGGGAACGCAAGTTTGACAGTAAATTTAGTGAGAATGTTAGTGTAGGATCTGCAGCTACAGTATTCAAACTTTCCTGAAAGAAACATAAATATAGACAGAAATCCCAATAATTACAGATTGAGAAGTGTTTATGGATACATTCTCAACATTCAAAGAATATCGGACCCAACAACTTGTAATTGGCAACCAGATGATAAATGAGCTCACATTTGATTTGTTAAGGGATAGAACATTGACAGTAGATATGTAAAAAATGTAAATATAGACTCAAAGATACTGACACAAAGGCAGCTAGGGGGAAAAAAGACTATTTTCCCCATCTGAAAAATATGTCAAAATGCATAAATACTTTAGAAAGCATATTCAAGTCCCAATGACTAACGTTATATTCATCAGGACTCACGTCGTAGATCCTGCCTAGGGCCCAGAGGCTGGCGTAGACGCCCATGGTGTTGCCCAGGCGGCCCAGGATCTTGAAGGTGAGGACAGGGGCTGGAAAGCCGTGCCAGGTAACGTTGTGGTGCACCTTGGCGCCGGCCTCCACCACCAGCACCGGCCGCCCCAGACGACCTACCCCAGGCAGCTCCTGTTACCAATTTGCAGTGAGAAGTAAACAGGGAGACAGTAAGTCTCTGTCCGGAAGTGTGATGTAATTAAAAAAAAAAAAAGAGTAATTACAACATAAACATTAATTCGCGGTATAAATAGAATTTTTAATGGTTCTTGCAGTCCTTTTCATTGATATATGTATATATAGATATATGTATATATATATATTTTTTTGTAATTATTGTTGATGAGACAACAGAGTCACTCTTACCTGGGATTCGAGCCAAGGTTGTGATCTGTTCCCCAGGTGTGTAGTAACGACAGGGACGCCCCGCGACGCTACAGTTGGACCCATCCTGGTGTTCCTGTTTTCTGTGGTGAGATTACTGCTCTCTGATACATGTGGTTTAATTTTCGGCGCACTTTTCACATTTTCTACGCTGGAATTTATATTATTCTCCTGAATCGAATGTATAAAGCCTTTAATAAAGTCTCTTGCGCTCTCAAATGTCTTATTTTCAAGAATATTCATGACTTTCCTTACAGGTTCGTAATATTTCTCTTCGACAGGAGTATCAATGGGCTTCTCGTAACTATGTACAGAATTTTCCACTGCTTTCCATATAGGCGAGTCACCCCCGTAAGAGCTTCGCAAATCTACTTTCTCCAAGTTTTGACCAATATTTTGCCTGGTGATGAGTTTTGATTCACTGTCTTCTGATGTTTCTTGTACTTTGATTCTATCTCTTGACGTTAGTAAGCTTTCGCTGTTAATTATCACTGAAAAACAAAGAGTATATTTTACTTTGGTGAATTTTAAATTCGCCAACCAAAAATTCTAATGTTTCATAATAAAATTGATCTGAAAGCATGTTTTTGGTTTGGTGTAAGGCTTAAGGCCTACCAATCTCTGATGTGATCTACGGGCTCACCATAGCCCGTGCTACTTTGAGCTTTTTGTTCCAGGTAGGGTATCTTAAACAACAACAAACTGAAGTGATATTAAGTCCACCACGAGAGATTACTCACCAACTAGTAAGCTTACTCTTGTCCTCAAAGAGTGTACATTATCCCTGACGTGCATTGTGTTCACATAGTACTTTTATGCCTATATTAATGCTTTATTTAATATGTAACCTCTAGGCCTACACATAAAACCACTGTAATAGGTTATGTATATTTTATGAATGTGTGTAATATGAACCAGGAGTTTTGTGTAGTATGAGCCCATTGATCTTCTAGATGTATATGTGGGATTTTAATTACGCAAGCGTGCACGTATAAATGCGCACGCGCCTTAGGGTGTATTCGTTGCTCTGTACGGTTACCGCACGGAGCCGCAACCATGCGTGCTTCCGGTACGTGACACCGCATCTCAGCCTAGCGGCGAGAACACAAACATTGTCATGATTCCTAATAATACCGTAAGCGTGAGGAGCTGTGCTCTGATCTGCACTATCCACTCGCGCAGGAGGCGCTATGGTACATGGGAACAGGTTCATGAGGCGCTATAGTACATGGGAACAGGTTCATGAGGCGCTATAGTACATGGGAACAGGTTCATGAGGCGCTATAGTACATGGGAACAGGTTCATGAGGCGCTATAGTACATGGGAACAGGTTCATGAGGCGCTATAGTACATGGGAACAGGTTCATGAGGCGCTATAGTACATGGGAACAGGTTCATGAGGCGCTATAGTACATGGGAACAGGTTCATGAGGCGCTATAGTACATGGGAACAGGTTCATGAGGCGCTATACTATATGGGTACAGAATACGTAACGTTATAACAAGCACTGTATTTTCGGACCACTATGTTACCGCACTTTTGGTACATTTGCCTATAATTCATTTTATAAGTGCACACGCTTGTATGTATAGGGTGCATATATGTGTGTATACACATGCATATCTGTATCTATACACATGTATAGGTTGTGTATCCTTTTATGTGTGCGTGCTAGCAATGTATGTGTGTATGCTAACGATATAATGAACGTAGCTGTAAGACTACTCACAAAACACTACCGTGGCAGACAGTACAAAGACGAGCGTCTGCTTCTTCACGCCCATTGTAAACACTGTACAGGGTGTCGAACCTGCGCCTCAGTGGCCCGCGGTATTCCACACACCACAACGAAACACTATTGAGGCTTTAAGACTAATCCAGTCAAACACCGGCCAACACAAAAGCCATAACTTGTTTGTTTTCCAAGCACTCGTTAAATAAATTATTACAGAGGATAGAATGTGAGGCAGCCGAGAGGTCTGGAAGCCTTATGGCTCTGATGAAGACTGGTTAGAAATAACAGGACTACTTAACTACCCCCAGCTCCACCTCCAGGGGTGCCAACACTCACAGGTGAGTGGAACTCTCACGTTCACGCAATGTCTCAACCTTTAAGTTGTTAACACATTTTTCATCAATGAGTTTATAATAAACGTTCTTGTGTCATAATATATATTCAGTATATTGTTTTCTATAGAGGAGTAGAATTAAATAGGAGTAGAGAGATATACCAGTTACGGAACAGCAGAAGGGATGACTCAGTTAAATCGCAAGAAGTCGTTGACCGCGAACATTTGATAGTTTTCCTGAATTGATCTGAGGGCCGCAATTTCTCTAGTCGTCTCGTGGCGTTTAGTGGTTATTTTATAATTACACTACTATTAAAGTTACATTGTAACAGTAATGGCCTGTAATACTAATAATAGGAATGCAATAGTAATAATAACAATAATAATAATATTACTAATATTAATAATACTGCGGGCTCACCATAGCCCGTGCTACTTGGAAATTTTGTTCCAGTAGCTGAATCTAAAACAACAACAAACATGCAGAAACTTACTACAACGCCGTAGTGCATGAATCAACGTGAAGGAGAGACCGAATATATTGGTAAGAACAATACATAATATCCACCTTTTCGGATGTAACCTACATGCTTTCTCAAGCTGCTGTATACACATTGTTCTGCACTGTATACAGTACCTTGAGGAAGGATGTAGGCTACATCCGAAAATGTTGTTAATACGCTTACACATATACTGGGTCTTTCTTTTATCTTAAATAATAGTCTCAGTCTCAGGCATCCATCAGTCTCAGGAGACTATGGTGTTGCGCCCTGGTTGCTGGTCTGGAGCAGCCTCTCCAGGACGCAAAGCCAGGGTAGGTTGATATGGAGGAGAAGCTGTTACCCATGCAGCAGGTCCTCCCTCTCCACAGCGCCGAAAGTCTCCAATGGAGACTTTCGAATGGATTATCCTTTCCAATGGATTATTATCTGGAATCCTTTCCAATGGATTATTATCTGGAGATTATTAACAATGGAGACTATTATTATCTTAAATAATAATAATAATAATAATAATAATAATAATAAATAATAATAAAATATGCTTCTCTGTAAGTCCTCGCCCACGAACGCACTACTAAACAAGAGGTGCGATATATGTCAAGCAGACAGATGTTGTTTACTTGTCGTAGGCTACCATGTCGTAGCTCAGTCCATTAAGGCAGCGTCTGGGATGACCTCGGACGTAGGTTCGAATCCTCGTCACGGCCCTTGTGGATTTGTTCATTGATGCATCACCTTATTGTGATTTCTGTGTGTAATGAGACAAATGTTCCCTTTGCACGAAGAGGACAATTTCGACTTTGTTACAACCCGGAATACGCAAAATTATGGAACACAATTTTTCAACTTTTTGGGAACAATACATAGTGACCTAACAAATGAATGGCTAAGAACACACAATCGAATTTAATATTTTTTAAAATTCATATAATGCCACAGATAATTGTACAGAAAAAGCTCACTTTTAGCTTGCATACTTCAAATTAACGTATTGCTATGTAAAGAATAATAATATATAATAATATTCTAATAATAATAATTATTATTATTATTATTATTATTATTTGTAATATTAAAGTAAATTAAAAATCAGACTTTTAATATTCAATATATATGACTGACAAATGCATTTGTGTTGTACATGTGCCATCTTATATAAGACGGGTATTATGATGCCACGTGTACACAGCCCTGCTCCTGTGCCAGGTAAGTCCACTATGGGCTCATCATAGCCCGTGCTACTTGAAACTTTTTGTTCCCTGTAGCTGAATCTTAAACAACAACAACATCTGATTGGCTCATTAGAGTGCCCTAGACGTCTAACCTGAGCGAGAAGCTCATCCACGCTCTCCAAGAAAACTCTTAAACTGCCACATTTAAATTTAGCCATTTAGAGGCGAGTCTAAACTCGCGCTGCATAAAATGGCAAACCACTTTATTACAAATAATAAATTATCTGAAATCCTTACACTGTATCCATATTTCGCTTCTAGTAGATAAATGGCATATACGAGACTAACGAACAAGCTTTGTAATGTGTAGACTAACAATAATAATAATAATAATATAGACTAATAATATAAACAGCAGCTCTTCTATGATCCAGTAATATCCTATTTTTAAATTATTTAAGTACTAACAAAAGACCTATCTCTAATGTATCAAAATATATTGCAAATACATAAATGATGACACGCAAAAACGTTTTTGACTAGCTGTCAATTATAATTGTAAGGTATGCAGATGTTATTGTAAAAAAATCCAGTGAGGTCTGATTAAGACCTTTTGGTCCGCTTTAATTTTTTTGTGCTACCGCTCACAAGATGAACATGGGGTGCACAATAAACCAGCCGCCTCCGGTGGCAATGATCAAATCGATTCCTCTTGAATGGTACGTCCACCCGGGCATAAAGGCGAGGAATTAACGAAGGTTTTGAAGTAATTCAAAGGAGCCCCGTGGTGTTCCTGAAGCTGATTTGTTCACTCCGGCTGGAGAACGAACACTGGAGTATGCAAAAAGCAGCAGCTCCAGGATGAACACCATAACACTGGTTGCCCAGCTGAAGAGAAGGATGAAAAAGACTCCCTGCAGGTGATCAAGGCTGAGCTGAAGTCTAATATTGCGCTGATCCTTCACCGCCAGATGCCCTCGCCTCTCGTAGTCCCGCCCTAGGAACTCTTCCGTCTTCTCCTGCGGGAGGAAGCGTGGCATTTATCAAGAGAAAGGGCTAAGTCATTATGACTATATTGCACTTAGGAGGGATCAGGACATGGATTTGGAATGAGAGGGGGGGGGGGTAAGGAATGGTCCCCAACCACTTGGATGGTCGGGGATTGAACACCGACCTGCATGAAGCGAGACCATCGCTCTTCCTATTTGAAGTGGACGCGTCCTCTTGCCAGCCACATTTCTCCGTGCACATTTGTGCCAGGTAAATACGACGGGCTCACCATAGCCCGTGCTACTTGGAACTTTTTGTTCAGAGTAGCTGAATATAAAACAATAACATAGAGGAAAGGAATTTACAGCCATAATTAATTCACCGTACTAGGTGGACGCGTGACAAAGTGCCTTACCGTTTAATTTTTTAAAGCTTGACTTAATTTATAGTATGTTTTAGAGCTCGTGTCAAAAAGTTATTTTGTCACACCTTGTCCACAAATTCTTGTGGTGTAATTTTAAAATGTAAAATAAATTCATATAAGACATTATGTAATATGGTCACTCCGTACTAAAGCCAGAACAGTTTTTTCTTACTCAGATGTTCAAACTAAGTCTGTGAAATTAATGTAGAAAAATTCCATGTAATGGAGATATGGGAGAGAGACCAAACAGGCCGCATAATGAAAGAAAAAATTGAATATTAATTAATAATAAATTATAAATTATAACTAGCAAATCATATTTATATTGTCTCTAAAGAATCCTATGCGATGTTGGTAATATCAGAATACATTTTATGGACATTTGTGCCAAACCAAAATTTACAACCTAAGTCAGACATAAATTGGAAAATGCAGCTAAAGAAATATACAAATACAAAATGCAAATTTTCAATAAATGAAACAAATAGATTAGATAACTAATAACATGCAGAGAAGAGAGAGAGAGAGAGAGAGAGAGAGAGAGAGAGAGAGAGAGAGAGAGAGAGAGAGAGAGAGAGAGAGAGAGAGAGAGAGAGAGAGAGAGAGAGAGAGAGAGAGACCGAAGGAGCTGGGGACACCCACAAAGAAACCCAGTGTAAAAAGATACAAATGTAATTATCACATATAGGTAATCATAAGTAGGTGTTCCCAGATCAGAAGTAAAACCATTCACTTAGATTGGTCAGTGCACTGACGGCCTCGCTTCGTGGTTCCTCTAGGGTCGGCTTTCGTCCCTAATTGCCCAAGTGGTTGGGCACCGTTCCTTCCCTCTTCCCTCATATCCCAGCTCTTAGCCAGTTCTTAAATACATTTTAAATGTTTGTATACCATACTGGCTTAGCGCTTTTCCCTGATAATTGTCTTAATTACCACAAGGTGCGCCACTACCTTGTGTCAGTGAGCCACAAGGCCGGCTTCCACGAGGCGCTGGACACAATGATCAAACTTGTACTTCCAAGCAGTGTTCTTCTGGTAGATCCAGCTGAAGTAGGTCGGATACAGCTGCTCCTGCAGCGTGTACCAGCCCTTCACCTAAAACAGTGGAAACAAATCTCTTACGGTAACAGCCGGTGAAAGAGCATAATGTTTACGTAAGACGGAATTGTTCTTTCAGTATACGCACAATCCTTGCTTACTCGTGATATCAGAAACACAGGTTGAAGGCAATGGCTTCAGATATGACAATATTTGAGGATTTATGGATGAACTAACACAATTTATTGGCTGTAAATCTGACGTGTTGAGCTAGTGCTTTGACACTCGTTCCGTCATCCCAGCCCCTCGCTCTTTCCTCACTTCCCTCCACCCCATGGTCTGTCACCCCCGCCCCTCACGCTATTGCACACCCCGCTTCCTCACCACTCCACCCTTCATGCTCATCCACGACCTCGTTCTTTCACCACTCCAACTCCTCACTCACCATGACCCCACCCCTCACTCACCATGACCCCACCCCTCACTCACCATCACCCTGTCTCTCACTCACCACCACCCTGCCCCTAACACACTACTACTCCGCTCTGCCCCTCACTAACCATACACAGTAACTAAATATCAGTACAAAACACCTTCTGGAGCCTACCTGGTACCGGGACTTGACGAGGATCTGGCTGAAGAAGTAGAGGTCGAGGAAGGCGTGTGTGCGCCGGTTCAGGAGGACTATCACGTCGTCATACACAGGCAGCAGGTCAAGCTTCTCCCCCAGCCTGCGGAGCACAGTTCCCTGCGCCGACTTCAGAGCTCCTGGCACGAACTCTCCGTAGTCCTT